TTAAGAAGTTCAACAAATAAAAAAGGGGAGTTACGTTTGGCAAAAGGTAATTTATTTTGATTCCATGTTTGAAGTCACTTTAGAAATTCATAGATTCGTTCGTTTAGCTACCCGACTAAAAACACATTTTCTAAATCCAACCCTGTTATTAATGGTTTTCAACGAAGCAGCAAACTTTCTAGAAATATGCAATTTTTTTAACAATTTATGTCATTCATAACAAATAAATATCATTCTGTACATCAGTAAACTGTGAATTTAAATATTACCTTGAAATTATATAATTTTTTTCTAGAAATATGTTCTGGACATTCTAAAACTGTATTTGCATTAAAATGTAAATAAAGTAGCGCAGGATTTGAATTGCATCTAGTAAACATATTGCGGTTAGACCAAATGGAGCAATATACGACGGATGAGCTAGTGAAGATTGTGAAAATTCATTACAAATACGGAGAGTTTGTAGCTGAGACTGTGCGTAAATGATGTAGAATTTTTGGTAGAAGGAACGTCCCAAATTTAGTTGTCAAATTTGGGACATATATTCCTAAAGAATATATTTTCTTGTCCCAAGTTCTCAATTTCGGTTTCGGCAAGTACATGTTTTAAAAACCATGTTTCAAATTTCATGGTAGGAACCATAATGTTGTATATATTTTCGGTAAAAATAATTTATTTGCTTGCTGATTAAATTATAGGTCGTCATTGTAGATTTTATATAAATTTTAACTATCTATTAACTCATCAGAAACAAGATCGAACATTCGATATTTCCAATTATTCTTCTTACACCTACATACTAACGTCACACGAACATTTACACAAAGAAACTATTTTTAAGTAGAGTTTTAATATTTGCGGTTATTTAATGAAGTACGTTCTGAAATTATGAAATTTTATAACATATTCCGTAACCCCCTGCAAGATATTAATTATATTTATGTTTGTTTGTGTTAGTTTTTAGATATTTTATAAGTGGATCGATGAAAAATATTGAGTTGGCAAAAATACAAAGTAAATCACAAGCAGTAAAGCTAATTTTTGTCTAATATTTTAAGAACACACAATAAATATTTTACACTAGGCATTCTTTAAATAACTCGGAATGTCCCAAAAATACAAAAGTTATTAATTATATGTAAATTTAGAATAAAAAAAATATTTTCAAAGATTTGACTGTTCTATACACATAAAATATTTTAAAGTAAATTTAGAACAAGAATTACAAGAATATTACTTTTTGTAATATTTTCTTTTATACATATACAGGGTGTTCCAATTGAAAAATTTTAGTAAATCAAGTTTAAACTTTTTAAAAATGATCGTATTATAAAAAATGCCATGCCTTTGCCTAACATTTGCCACTAACTCTATCAAATACTTTTGCACCTTGTTCAAGGTCATGTTTTTTTCCAAAATTCGATGAATTTTCTATTTAAATTGGCCACCCCGCACTAAAATGATAAACTATTTATATTGCCATATATAGAATTTTCTCGGAAGTCCATATGTTTAAAAATATATAGGATGTTCCATTTAAAAAATGTAATATTTGGCGTCTCCCGTTTTTACTCATCACCCTGTAGGTATCAAATTAATTTTGTAGTTTAGGTTTCTTGATTCTGTTTAACTTTTATATAAACTATTTTTCTGTATTATGAGTAACAAGGGAGTTATTTTACTTTCTCGCACTAATGGCCCACCCTGTATAAGTAATAATTTTCGAAATTTAAAAAAGTTACCTTTGCTGTCAACAATTTTATATCTTATTCTATAAATTAATTGAGATTACTTACCTTCGAGGAAATTTTAAACTTAAAGCGAAATGCAATGGCAAAATAAAAAATAAAAATGCGAAACAATTAAAAAAATATATTGTAGTAAAATATGAAACAAGGCTAACAAACATTAAAACCAATTTACAAAACTAATACGTTTATGATGAGTTCGTATGTCTTGAACGTCAGTCATTAAATAACTGAATTGTGTTTTATGAATTGTACTTATATACAACGTGATTTGCATAAACAGCCTTTAATATACGCAACTTCTATCATTAAACGTATCATAATTAACAAATTATGTAATTAGTGATTATGCACATGCACAAGCTTTCTATCAGAAAATAGAAATTTGTTAGTGTAGGTAGTCCAAAATAAGCATATGTATTGTTTTTATTCAGCTAGATGCAAATTAAGGTAAATGATACTTTTCTAGAATAAATAATGACCTAAGAAGTTACTACATACATAACAAATTGCTTAAAAATGTCACATTAACATTAAAAACAATTCACACACACGTGTTAAAAGGGACACAATTACATTAATTTAAAAAAGTGTTTATGTTTACGTCAATGATCATTAGACTTAGAAAATCACTGACTTTATTGTCACATTAATTCTTACATTTTATACGAATGCGTTGTGTCAGAAAAGTGAGTTTATTTAAAATCGGCAGTAAATAAAGGATTTAATAATATTTGGACAAAAGTACGATCTTAAATAATGGCACATATTCCTGAATAACGCCAGGGTCACACAGAGAATTTGTTAGCTGCGTTGTGTACTAAAATACCCATTCCTGTTTAGAATAGACCTAACCACACATAAGCATTTTCAATAATCAAAACGCTAAAACTGCAAAACGAAGTTTAAATCAGTAGCAATTCTAATTGTTAAAACTTTTTAAGAACCTCTGGAATCGTCCCTGACCTACATACCGCATAAAAATGGGTGTATAGTCTTACTTTTTACTGCGTTTTCATTTTATTAAAGAACAGTGTGCCTCTGGTGTGTATTTTAATAATAATATTTAATAAACATACTAAAAAGTCCAATCAAGACAGTAACAATAAATTGGTGAATACAGTGGTATGGAAACGCTGATGAAAATTTAACGTTAACTGCACATCCTGTACAGCGATTTTCACATAGGCATTCATAGAGGCGGAGTTATCGGTGGGGTCAGCGGTTCCAAAAATGTTCTCATCGGATCAGTGCGGTAAGTCAGTAGGTATTAAAAAATAGTTTGCTTGCAAAGAAACATTATGCCAAACAGGTTTTCGCACTTCTATTTATTTACTCTTCAAATAACCTAACAAAGTTTGGACAGCAAGAATACTAATGACTAATTCGTTCAGAAGATTGAAGAAACATTCGTAATTGTAGAACAAAACCTTGAACGAATATCGAAATCTGAACATACACGATGTAAGCACGTGTGAGAAAATTTCTGAGAAATTACAAAGAAAAAGAATGGAAGAGACAGCGTTGTATTGAAGATTAACGACCTTCACACACATTATTGATGAACTCGTTTTGTAGTTCACTCTGTATACATACAATTGGGAGATTTTTTAAAAATATTTGTCATCCCGGCCTTAGCATGATACTCTAAGCATTTGGTGAGGTTTGGTCTATTTAAAACAGTGATGGTTAATTTTAATATACATGGTGTCCTAGAAAGATCCGAGCTCGCGGTAACTGTTCAGAATTGAATCCCGACAAAAAAAGCTTTATATAAAAGGTGTAGGATAACAAGCAACCAATACGTTGGTGACCTTGATTTTAACATCGGCCTTCAGTTTTATGGTCAAACCAAGGTCAATTTGAAGATATTAAATGAAACATCCTATTTTTTATACCAGCAATCAGTAGAGCGGTAAAATTTGCGGTCAAGTACGTATAGGTCATTTGAATGTCAAAATTATTTTGCCAAAAATGCTTCAAGCAAAATTGAATAAAAAAATTATATAGTGATCTTGTCTCCAGAAGTCTCTATCATCAAATTTTAAGTACTGACCTAACAATGTGTTAAATTTTAAAATTGTTGTCAAGATCACGCCAACAACTTTGGTTGAATTAAATTCTTTTACTTTTATGTCCCTTATTTTTCGTAAAAAATAAGTTTGACCTTCAATTGATCTGCAAGAATATCCTGGAAATTTTTTTATACCAGCTTCCGACAAAAAATTTATTTGGCACTGTATCGGTCGTTGGTGTAAAAGGTGGCGTGTCCCATTTAATATTAAGTTGACTTTGTTTCACCTTGCAACTTGTGGATAAGGACAAATCGAAGGTCACTATCTAATTTGTCACTCAAAATCTTACAAATTTTGCCTGAAATAATTTTGTTAATCAAAGAAAAATCTCAGTTTGATCTCCATTTGGATGCAAAATTCGAAGCTTTATCGATTTCTGGAGTAAAAAATAGGGTGTCCCATTCAATATTTTTAAGTTAATCTTAGATTGACCTTGAAATTTAAAGTGAAGGTCAATTCTGTAATCTCCAAAATATTGACTTCTAGATATCCTATAACTTGTATCTGAATCTTTTTTGATAGGTCTAGATCCTGAAAAGTTATGTGGGGATTCGTGTCTTTCCGGCACACACTGTATATAGCACACATAATCAACTTTCAATACATATTTTTCAAATTCATAATTTGATTAAAAGTTAAGTTCCTGATTTAAGAGATTCATAATTACTAGAACTCGAGCTAAAATTTGAGCACAACACTATCTTCGTACTACAAAATCGATACATTTTATTTTATTTATTTAAAAACTGGAAAACAATTGTCTTGAAATTTACTAAATGTTTCACGATAACAGTTGTTTACATTTTTTCCGTAGGACAAGTCTGCCACGTTCACACGTGGTGTGCATCAGCTGTGTAGCGCTGTTGTCACATTGTGATGAAACTCGGTATTATACAGCTTTTTTGTTTATTTATTATTACACTATCTCATGCTAAAGTAATGGCAGTCATACTTCTTACACCCTGTATACAGCGAAAAAAACTGGTAGTACGCTTTGCGTGAGCCTAGCATTACAAATTATAAACTATAAAATGTTCAAAAGTAAATGCAACAACTTTTCGAAAACAACTTAATTCTGGCTGCTAAAAATAAACAGGTTCTATTAAATGAAACCTTTGATGGCTTGTTTAGTGACGTTATGGTAGGTTTTCCATGCATCATCATCAGTCCGACCTACCTCTTTCATCCTCTTCATCAGATCTCCTTCATCGATATCGTGCTCGACTCCTAAAGGGATCACGACTTCCCTGCCGTCCGCGTCCGTTACTTTTATAATTTCCTCCCTCTTAACGGCACCCTCATTATTCTTATCCCTGACGGTTTCGGAAGTCAAAACGAAAGAAGAAACTCCCAAAGTGTGAGACTGCTGGACCTTGATGTGAGTCGTCTCGGTAACTTCATGGACGATTTTGCCTGGAGGAACATCGGGCGAGGGCTTGAGTACATCCTGGGCCAAAGGAAGTTCCGGGCAGCCCACCGCCAGTACCATTTTCTCCTTGGAGATGTTCTCGCGGACGTCGTCCTTCCCGTACTCCCACCAGGGGGAGTAGCGGTGCTCGCACTCGGAAGCGGTGTTGTACGAGGACGAGCGAGAGTGTTGGAGAGTGCATTCCGAGGCAGTCAGGAATTCCTCGTCCGATTTTAAATCCTCAGCTTTGGTAGCCTTCTGTAACAAATGCATAACTCGGTATTAAATGGGCTCTTAAGTGCAGCGGCTGTAGTTTATGATGCCGTTAGAGCGCTAGTGGCTTGGTATTTGGTTAAGGAATTAAAAACCGGTCGTGGTTATTGACACGAGCTGCATAGTTTCGTATTGGAATAAAAATAATTCCATGTTCGACTGCTCGGGTCAGTATTAATACGTAAATATACCAAATCCACAATATACAGGGTGGTCCCGAAGTAATGGGCCAAAATGCATGGGTAGATTCCCCAAGCAAAAATATTGCGATTTAGCCAAACTTACTTACCTTAGTCCAAAAATTGATAGTTAAAGAGAAACAGGGTGTTAAATGTAAAATATTATTTCAGTTTTTTTTCATTTATTCCTTGACAAATGCAAATATCCTTACAAAATTTTGGGGTTTGGAGTTCTTTGGGTAAAGGAATTGAAATCTGTTCACTGTTTGGTTAAAGTTCATAGAGGGCGCTAGCTGTAGTAGATTGAATGTGTTAAAAACGACATAACTTTTTTGTACTTTAAAGTATCTTATCTTTGGTATGAAATTCTTATTTTCCAACGTTTTTGTACACAAAAAGAGTAGATTTTATGAAAGTAGCTATCTCGCACCGATTTCGAGATATTTGGCTTTAAAACTTCCAATGCTGTTGCATTAAATTACAATTAGGTACCTACAGGTATTATTAATTTAGAGGTAAATTTTCTTAAGTAGGATTTCGACGAAAATCAAATAATTGACGTTTTCCACTTGTCTTATTGCTGTCATTTGTATGCTAATTTCAATAGAAATTAGCAGCAAAGTATTATTCGTACCTAATTAAAATTACATCTTAGCTTACAGTTTAAATTGTATACTCGTATACATAAATGTGAGATAGATTTTCGTTTTTAGAGTTACATGAAATCATTTGTTTATGGAGAAACTATAAACACCTGAGAAGAACTTTAGCAGCAGGTTTTAAATGCTGCAAAGTGATTTCGCGTTAAGGATTTATATTTTAAAATAAGACAATAAACGCGTTAATAAAAGTATTGAAGTTAGAGGTGGACATTTTGAGCAATTATTGTCAAAAAAGCATATTTTTTACTAATGTTTACTATTTTACTGTTCATTACAATTTTTAATTCTAAATAAACCCTTGTTTTTGACATTTCTAAATTATTTTCATTATTTCAACTATTAGCATTGAAAGTTTCAAAGACAATTATCTAGGAAACGGTGCAAGACAGCTACTTTCATAAAGTCTACCTTTTTTTTGTAAAAAAAAGTTGGAAAATATGAATTTGATACCAAAGATGAAATACCTTAACGTACAAAAAATTATGTCGTTTTCAACACATTTAATCTACGGCAGCTGGCGCCCTCTATGAACTATAACCAGAACGTGAACAAATTTCAATTCCTCTACCCAAGGAATCACAAACCCCAAAATTTTGTGTAGATATTTGCATTTGTTAAGAAATAAATGGAAATAAACTAAAATAATATTTTACATTTAACACCCTGTATCTCTTTAACTATCAACTTTTGGACTAAGGTAAGTTTGACTAAATCGCAATATTTTTGCTTCGGGAATCTACCCATGAAAATTGAATCTTAACGTCACTTATACAGGGTGTTCCAGAAAGACCTCCCGTAAATACAGGGGGAGATAGTACGACAAAAAAAAAAGAATTTTTTGTCTTATGGACTATATGTCTATCTCCTCTTGCTTTCGAGATACAGAGCGACAAAATAAAATTTTTTAAATAGAATTTTTACGAAAATTTCCAAACGATGCGAAATATTTTTATGAAATTTGGTAGTCCGGGATTTTTAAGATAGCCAAATAAGCTGGTCTGATTATTTCTTGGATATTTCATATAGTGCGCTAGTTATGCTACATTCCCATTACATTTTAAGTTCTATTTTTTTTTAAGGTTGGGTGTTTTACATTCGGGCTCCAATTTCTAATGTACAATTTTATTTTCTAAAAATAATGTACTCTTGTTGGAACTTTCTAATGTGGACGGTTTTCGAGAAAAAAAGGCTATTAATTGAATGAACTCTTACATTACGGTGTGTATAAAATAAGTGACTTCTCAAAGTAGGCTTATGTCAAAACTTTTTGATGGTTATCTCATAAACAATGCATACGTTCTTAGTAATTAACTTTATATCAAAATTTTAGTGACGGTAATTAGTAGACTAATTACAGTCACCAACAATCACAAGAGAAGATAGACATATAGTTCATAAGACAAAAAGTTCTTATTTTTTGTCGTACTATCACCCCCTGTATTTACAGGGGGTCTTTCTGAAACACCCTGTATAGACCAAAATTAATTATGTTTTAGCTTATTTTCTTAATTATTCTCTTACGTAAATGAGTGTTTTTCATAAATTAAAGTAAACTGTAACTGTTATTTTTAATACCATAAGAAAAACGATGCTTTTATAGGCCTTTTCATCAAAACTTTTTTTAGTGCGCATGCGTCAATATCAGCCATCGTTTTGGTACTGTTTTTTGTAAACACGTGTGTTAAAAAAGTGAGGAATCGTCAAATAATTTGAGGAAAACAAATTTTTAAGCCATTGTAATTATGTTACTCGTACTTACAACAACAAAACGGTGTTGTTTGTAGGAGTGATACGGGGTATAAATAATTTAAAGGCAATAAATTCTATTTCATAAACTTTTCTAAACCTTGCTTAGAATTCTGTAAAAAAGTGCATATTAATACATGTTCAAAATTCTCGAAATGTGAATTGAGTATCTGATTTTCCTTGTTTACAATATTGAGTAATTTCCCTTTATCAACAGCTGGATCTACAGGTACATTGTTTCTAATAATATTTTTAATTTTAATTTTTTAATTTTTAATAATATTTTACTCTGAAAAAATGAATCACTTTTAATTAATTATCTAACACATTATACATTAATTTTTTCATATTAAGTAACTATTAATATACACGATCGTATATAATTATATAATCAAAAATCTCGTTTTGCTTCAAAGCATTAAATTATTTATTTCCTCAGTAATAGTCATGATTAATTTATATATTCAATCTAAATAATTTATTTATCTATATCTAAATAAGTACCAAGTATTTATTTTCACTTAACTAAAACAGAATTACAATAATAATTGTTCATTTTAATTGTACCTACTTAATTTTATTAATTATTGTTTACGTAATAAGATTACAGATGCCTAATCTCTCAATCAACTCTTTTATTTCCTTTTTGTTGATGTCCGTGACACTTCAACCAATTTTTTTATTGTTTACAATTAGTTGCTTCGATACAACTATGGATTAGTAACGCACCATCAATAATTTATTCTAATGAACTATTTGTTTGCAAAGATTATACTACTTTTCCAGTCATCATTAACAAAAACAGTACGAAACTTTTGAATTCCCACCTTTTCAACATGGTTGTTGCACTTGTGCTTATCAGGTCGTGAAAAGATCTATTATTTAGAACAATTAATATTTTCATCCAAGTGAGTTATAATGGCTTATAAACTTAACAAGTTCAGAAAAAAACTACAAATACGACTTTCTTTGTTTTAAATTTGTTCACAAGAGATAAATCGAAAGAATTTCTAATGTAGGCTTCTAAAAAATAATAAGTAAATGGCAGATATGTAAGTAGTTCGGAATAATGTTAAATGAAAGAAGAGAAAATGAAGATTTGTTTAAAATAGAGTGTAAGTATGCCAAAAAATTGTAACATATCGGAATATTTTATTGATATATTAAAACAATTTTTCCTGACTTAATTTTTCTGTGTTTTTGACAATTTATAAATTGATTTTAATATAAATTATTTTCGGACTACTGGTAAAGGTAAGGACCAAAGTTTTAGGAACTTTGCAATTTCCAAGAAATATGTGCAGAAAAACATTGTGTATTGGATCTACATAAAACACAAATAAACTCTTGTTTTTTTAATTGGAATATAATCGTCGTTTTTTTTTGATTCGTAAGAAAATTTCCTAAAGCTTTGGTCATTTTGTGAATAACTAAACATACAAATATCAAAGTAATTAAAGTTAAATATTACAAATTTTTTCTTTTATGGCAATATCTTCAGTGAAGAATTCGTTTTTCTATTTTATATTGAAAAATAATGGAATCAGAATGTGAAATTAATTCCATTTTGGCCTTATACAGGAATAGAGAAAACTATTATAAAGGTATTGTAAGTTTTTGCTTTATTCACACCAAATATATAGAAAATCCAAAAATTTTGATATAAATAGAGTAAAACATTTTTATCAGCAACTCGATTGTTTTTAAGACATTCCGTTCAAATTTTACATAGATTTTCATTCTATGTTGCATATTTTTTGTAACTGTGATTAAAAAATGGACTTTTTCGTAAACGAAAAAAAGGGTACCCGTTAACCAACCCCATACTTCCTTTGTGCAGGCCTATGATTCAAGTATATTTCAAACTAAGCATATATTTCTTTTATATTTTTAACTTTTGTAAAATTTTGATTTACCAGATATTGCAACTGCTCTGAATTGCGATATTGTTTTACAGAAATATTATCAGAGCAAGATATTTTTCTTATAGGTACATTGCTAAAATTGAATAATTTCAAATATTTCGAATTTTCACCACCAAGAACGGCGGTGACAGCATTTTTAACATTAAGGCGATGTTTCGCATTGTATTAGCTATGTCCTGTCCAAATTTCTTTTGTAAAAATTTGATCTACCAGATATTCCAACTCTTTTGGATTGCGATATAGTTCCTCAGAAATATCACATGGTACAATTCGGATATGGTTTTATATGGAAGCGAAATCAGCTTTTCAGTTTTTATTATTAAAAAGTATTCTCTCTTATTGATAGAGTATGAAAATTTAATTTTTAATACAGCATATAATTGAAAAGTTATGGTTGATTAAAAAAAGAGGCTCCTAAATTAAATATGGCATAAAGAAAGCCTTATTATTAGGAAATCATTTTAATTCTAAGA